TTGTTTTGTAGTTTTATTCTGTTCTTTCATGTACCTGGTGTGATGTTTGTTAGCTTTCCTGAATTTAAAGATTCATTTTGCTCATTAATTTTAAACAATTCTCACGTGTTACCTCTTAGACTATGATGCCACTCCATCCCTATCTTTTTTCTCTCCTCCTAAAACTCGGATGAGGAGTATATTTGACCTTTTCATTTTCTCTCCTATATCTTTCCATCTCTCTTTTATATGCTTATTTCCTTATCTTTGGGTTGCATTCTACATAATTTTGTCAACACTAACTTCCAATTCAGTAATTGTCTCAGATGCTGTTTATTATATTGCTAGACATTCTGCTATGTTCAGTTCCTGGTCTGCCTTTTCATTTTTAATCAAGACCTTTGTTTATTTAAAAATCATATTAAGGAAACTTACTGTATAATCTATGACTGATCACTCAGAGACCTTCTGTGATGCTCAACCATAAAGAAAAACCTATAGACACATTGAAAATAGAATATCCTTACAGTTGCCTCAGAGGAAAGTGCTGTGCATAATTTCTGCCCGCAGAATTAAATTCTGACCCTTCCACTTACTAGTGAGGTGGTTTTGAAAAATTTGTTGACCATTCTGAGTCTTAGTCTTAGTATCTGTGTAAGGTAGTATTAGTTCCTATCTCCAAAGAATGCGGTGATGATTAACTTAGCAAACATATATTCAGTTTTCAGAACAGAACATGGAAAACAGAAAATATATTTGCAAAAAGGAAATATGAGGAAAAAGAATCAGCAACTGATTTTTTTAAATGTCATTTAAAAGCTACAGATTTCTCTAACAATGGCTCATTGGCTCTGTTAGCCTTTAGAAATAACTACATAGCAAATCACTAACAGAGGAACAATTAAGTCAAATTGTGAGTCACTCATTACTGCAGAAAAAATTAAATTGAAATTTTTAGAAAAAGCTATATGACAAAAAAATTACCCTTTATTAAAATGTGAGAATATCTGCAACATTTAGGTGGGAAATCAATAATACATGATAAGTCAAGCCATTGCTATGGCTGCTCACAATTCCACGCTGAGGTAGAATGCCCCTATGTGGGTTCCGGGAAAGAGGTTTGTTATTCGGTAGTGATGACAACCAGGGGCCGCAGAGAAGGGAGAGACATCAAATGAGAAATGCATCCTCCACTTGTGAGCTGGGAAATGGACCTCAACACTGCAACTGTTGTTGTTTGCCCCAATTTAGCTGTGCTGGACATTGGAAGCAGGGGCCAGACACCTCATATCCACAGGGAATATAACAGTCTGCTTTGCAAGAAACTCAACTTTAGATTCAAACAGCACAATTATCAAAATAGAAAACAAAGTTAAAATTCTTCCCAAAACAAATACCTTGCCCAGATGGTTTTATAGGTGATTTTTTTTAAACCAAACATCCAATATACAAATACTTAGAATTTTATGTAAATTCTTCCAGAGAATAGAAACAAAAATACTCAGCAATTTTATGAATGTAAAAGATGCCACTCTTAGGTAATTAGTGTGAGGGATTTATTGTGTCTGTGTCCCAGTGGAAATACAAAAGAATGTTTGTGGCAACATTGGTTTCCATGGCCTCAAGGGGAAACAGTTCAAATGTCTAACAACTGATGAATAAATTTTGGCTTATTGACATAATATATCCAGAGGGGAAAATGGTGAATCAGAGCTAGACATCAGCCTGGACAAACTCAGAAATCTAATGTTGGGGAACAGAAAAAGAAAATCACAGAAGGCCTGGGCATGGTAGTCCCAGCACTTTGGGAGGCTGAGGCGGACAGATTGCTTGAGACCGGAAGTTCAAGACTATCGTGGGCAACATAACAAGATCCCTTCTTTATAAAAAAGTACAGCAATTAGCCAGGCATGGTGGCACACATCTGTAGTCCTAGGTATTGAGGAGGCTGAGTTGGGGAAGACTGTTTGAGCCCAGGAGGTCAAGGCTGCAGGGAGTCCTGATTGTGCCACTGCACTCCAGCCTGGCCTGGGTGACAGAGCAAGATCCTGACTTGAAAAGAAAACACACAAAATGACTGGTTTACTGTAAAGTCCAACCAGGCAAATCGGAACAACATATTGTTTAGAGAATCATTCATAGGTGGTAAAACCTTTCAAGAAATTCAAGGGAGTATTTTAGAGGAACCTAGGCTAGCAGCTATTTGCCCCACAGTCGGGGTGGGGAGATGACATGATGTAAGGTGTGCAGGGCAGATTTTAAAAGAACAGGTGACTGTCATGTGCATCCGTGTGAGGAGACCACCAAAAAGGCTTTGCGTGAGAAATAAAGCTTTTTAGTCACCTGGGTGCAGGCGGGCTGAGTCTGAAAAGAGAGTCAGTGAAGGGAGACAGGGGTGGGGCCATTTTATAGGATTAGGGTAGGTAAAGGAAAATTACAGTCAAAGGGGGTTATTCTCTGGTGGGCAGGAGTGGGGGTCACAAGGTGCTCAGTAGGGGAGATTTTTGAGCCAGGATGAGCCAGGAAAAGGAATTTCACAAGGTAATGTCATCACTTAAGGCAAGGACCGGCCATTTTCACTTCTTTTGTGGTGGAATGTCATCAGTTAAGGCGAGGACTGGCTATTTTCACTTCTTTTGTGGTGGAATGTCATCAGTTAAGGCAGGGCAGGGCATTTTCACTACTTTTGTGATTCTTCTGTTACTTCAGGCCATCTGGGAGAATACGTGCAAGTCACAAGAGATGCGATGGCTTGGCTTGGGCTCAGAGGCCTCACAGTGACATCATTTCTTAAGATGGATACATTGGTTTTAGTATCATTCTTTAAGCTTAAAATACACTGGATAAAATATTTTGTAATTTTGATATGTTTAATAATTAAAAAATAATAAAAGCTAGAGGACATTTGAAGGAAACAATTTAGACAGTTATTCCATATGTCATTACAATATTATTAAGATGCCCCTTTAGTCATTCCTGTTCTGAAATTCAAAGCATTTTTAATTTATTCAAAAGGAAAGACAAATAAAAAATATTTTGCTTACACAATTGGCTGAATGATTTGGAATACCTTTGCAGAGTGGTTTTAATTCAAATTCAAATTAAGTGGATTAACTGTGTCCTCTCTCGTAGATAAATACTTCCTTTATTTCCTCCATGTTGTACTCTAAGCATTTAAACTATTTGCTTTCAGAAAGCTATTACCTTTCTTGGCTTGAAACACAATTTCCAAATATTCCTGGTCATACTCGTAGATTTGAATGGGCCCAGTTGACATCCACATCTTATGTGTCTTCTGAGATACTAACTGAAGCTTGCTTCACTCTCTGACTCTACAGAGAATTCCGGTGGATGTCAGATGAATGAACCGGAAATGCAATCATTTAACAGTGAGCCAAAATAGGCCCTTTCCCTGAAAGTGATTTTTAGAAACAGTGTTTTCTGAAGCAGAACATTCTGGAGTATACGTCCCTCAAAGCATTTGGATCCTTCAGCTTAAATGCATATCTCTCCCCAAAAGCCATTATGTACTTTGAAATTCCAGAGTGCAAAAATTTGTTGCTTATAAATAGCATATTCATCTGTTAAATATCTGCAGCTTATGGGCCTTCATTCCTTTTTTATTCTTATTGCCCTGAAGACAATTTCTAAAATGATTTTAGAGATATGGAGTAGTAAATGAGGTATTCCTGAGAGACAGCCTGAAGTGAAAGCAGTTTAGTTTGAAATGTCCCAAGTAATCATTTGGTTTTATATATGTGCTTCAAGGTAGGTTAAGGTGGGACAAGAGAATGAGCGTTTGCTCTTGCACCTGTAATTAAAATGGCAGAATCTCAGAGTTTCCTGGAATAGAATCTCATGTCAAGTTACTAAGAAACATATAGTGCACTTTTGGCATTACAAGCCAACTACTGACAATGTGATGCAGGTTTTGAATGAACAATTTGTTTTGTATTTTGACCTAATATGCTTATAAAATCATAAACTATTTGTATTAAGAATTACAATATTAGTTTCAGAATTTATTCACTTTCACGTGTATTAATTTTTCAGTGATCAGCACTTAGCTCTGTTTCCTGCTTTCTGGCGTGCTAACTGGTTCAAAATAAAATCGAGAGTTAATGAAAACTATGTTCTTAACATAATGGTTTGAAGTATGTAATTTTCTTCCGGTTAAAACAAAATAAGAGAAATCTTATGTGAACAGTCTATGATCTGAAACATTTATTATGGCTTTATCTTAAAATAATTTAATGGGTTACTGTGTCTACTTCAACAGCTGCCTTGAGGCTTTGTTTGTTTGTTTGTTCAAATGGCTACCATCAGTCAAAGGAGACAGGCATAGTCAGCTCATTACAGCCTTAGCTGATGTACTAATGTAACTTCTAAGTAGGCTTAACATCACAGACTTTCAAAATGCTTAGCTATTAAACAATAATTTTTTCTTAGCTGTATTTAGAAAAAAATGAGGATTTTGATCCTTTCTATATGGAAACGATGACCTTTAGTAGAAGAAAATTCTTTTTATGTATTTACAATTACTAAACTCTACTGTTTACAAAACTGATTGGAAAATAATGTTTAAATCTTGTAGGTGGATATCTACATGCATATTTCTGAATTTGAATATGTGTGTATATATGCATAGTGACAGAATAAAGTAACTTACATTTAAAATGTAACATCGATATATAATATATAACATATATATGAATGTAAATATAATAGATACATAAACATATATACAAACATATAAATATAAATATAACATATACATATAAAATATATGTAAATACATATAAAATAAAAGTTTTTTTTTACATATAAAGTATCTTAAAAAGAGTTTGCTTCAGGCTAAATATTTTATATGAGTATTTATATTTATATTTCTACCTTTCTCACTTTAATATATTTAAAGTGACAGTTCCTTGCTATTTTTGCATAATGTTTGAGTATTAATTTACTATTAATGTGTTATTTTCTTGGTATCTGTAATAAGAAATATATATCATTGTCTTTACCCTCAGGTCTTTATCCTGAAATATAGTTCTTAAAATCCTTGCAGTAGGGGTGCTAGAGGAATCTTTGTTCTGTATTTGTTCTTTAACCCTAGTTTCTGACACAGAGCTCCTTTGTAATGTCCTGAGTGACAGGCGCATCTTTTTTTCTAACAGGGTGGCTCTCAGTGGGCTCCTGGATAGCCTTAGCATGAGGGCTGGTTTCCCTGGGAACCAATCACCTGTGTAATGAGGGGGTTGGAACTTTCAGCCCCACTTTCTAACCTCTAGAAAGGGGAGAGGAACTGAAGGTTGAGTTGATCATCGATGGACAATGATTTAATCAACTATGATTGCATAATGAAGCCTCCATAAAAACCCGAAAGGCTGAGTTCAGAAAGCTTCTGGATTGCTGAACACATAGAGATGCCTGGAGTTGGCTCCAATCCAAAAGAGGGCATGGAAGCTCTGCTTCTCCCCACATTTCTTGCCCTGTGCATCTCCTCTCTCTGTCTAGCACTTGAATCCTTTGCAATGTCCTTTATGATAAATGGGAAGATGTAAGTAAGTATTTAGCTGAGTTCTCTGAGTTGCTCTAGCAAATTAATGGAACCCAAGGAAGAGTCCTGGGAACCCAGGTTTATAGCTGGTCAGTCAGAAGCTTGGGACTGTCACCTGAAGTGGGGGCAACCTTCTGGGGCTGAACCCTCATTTGTGGGGTCTGGAGCTTCCTCCAGGTAGAGTCAGAATTGAACTGAATCACAGGACACCCCGCTGGTGTTCACAGAAGCATTGCCTGTGCTGGTGGGAGAAACCCTCACACACATTTTGGTAACCAGAGGTAAAGTGTTGCATTGAGTGTGATTGACTGTGTAAGAATGTAGGCGGGGAAAAAGTTGTTTTTTTTTTTTTCTTCTTCAAATTAATTTACTATGAATGTGTAGATGTGTTGTTTCATTGAAATATTTCATATAAGTTTCTTCTGAACCCCTGAATTAAATTAAATGTCAACTATATAGACCAGCTAGCTCTACGTGAAAGAGTTAAGTGCCATCCAATATTTCTTCTGCCTCTCTGCTGTCTCAGACAACTGATCCTGCCATCCCTCAGGAACCTGTAGACAGGTATTATGAGAGTCACGCCTTGTGAGCATTTCCCTAAGTTTCTGTTGTATGTGTAATTATAAGGCCATCCAAAACATGTGTACTCATTTTAGAGGAATCTGTGGTTAAAAAACTGAGCATGTAGAATCTGTTCTTTTCACTGAGTAATAATTTTAATAATCCAGAAGAACACTGACAGGCAGGGTTTGGAGAACAGCACACTGATGTCCCCGATTTTCAGGACAGCATATTGCTGACACCTAATCAGACACCCATGACAGGGCTGGGCATGTTATCATTACACAGAAATACACTTAAAGTGATTTTTAATTTGGGATGTATTTCCTGACTGTTGAACTTAAGTAACCCCTCAGTTGAAATGTTTAGCATTATCTGGAATATTAAGTGTCGGTGACTCAAGAGTATTTTAGATTGCATTTATTATAAGTGAGTTCTAACTGCCATTCAGTATTGTAATAGAGCTCTCATTTTAATTATTTGTACTTTGCCTTGTACAAATAAATAAGTAAATAAATATGGTTTCTAATTACACTAAAGCAAATTTTATGTCTAAATAATTTGTATATTGACCTATGATTATATTTATAACTGTTTGTTTAGAGACATGTAATACAGTAATTTTACCATGTGTATAATAAATATTTGTTTAAAAATAGGAAACAACAAAATGTAGGGGTTTTAAAATAAGAATAAAAAACAAGATAACTTTTGTTTTACCTTAGTTATCTTTCTTCTTTCCTGTATTTTTTGTGAGTTTATTGATGATGAAGTGAATTCTCCGAATCTTCCTTGTAAAATACTTTTTAAAAGTATTATATACTTCTGAAGAGGCTTTACATATTTATTTGATTTTCATCTTATTTATTTATGAAACACATGAAAATAGATATAAAACAAAAGGCATTATTGTAAAAGCTGTTTTGAATTTGCATGAGTGGATATGCACTCCATTGTTTTAACAAGAAATGTATCATAAACTTTTGTTTGTACATTTGTGGTTGCTTTTTGCCATTAAGGCTAAAGTATAGGATGTGGTGTATTCTGTTGTTTGGCTCTCACATATCCTTTTGTGTAGCATCCTATATGCTAAGAGCAGGTTTTGCAGACTGGAGTACATGACTCAGGCTCCTGGAACCTGGAAGTGGCTATGGCCAGGAGCACGTTGTAAGGTAAAGGCTGGCCTGGTGGACACTGCCTTCCACCGTAACCTCAAATCACTTTATGTGCAGATTTGTTGACTTTCTGAAGTTGAATGAGACAGAATTAAGCGATTCTTATTCTTACTATTTTTCACTGATATCATTGAAGTCAACTCTTAATCTCCAATTGAAAAACATAATATTTTAGCTTTATTTGCCCTGCCTGGTCAGTTGTCCAAATGGTAATGTTTCAATCCTATGTCTTTTCATCTTGGTTATTTTCCTAATTATGATTGATTTTGTATTTTGAATCTTTGTGCAGCTCCCAGAAAATGTTTTAGCAAGTGGGAAATTTGTAAAATATACTAAAAATTCAAAAATAATTTATGACTGTTTTGTAACAATGTAATCATTCAATACATGAGATAACTGCTTCTTTATTGTTCTTTGTCTCTGCAAGATTATTATTTAAATATACTCATTTCTGCTTATAAAATATAACACACATTTATTTTGGAAAGATTAGACAATAAAGAAAATATAATAAGCCAATATTTTTATCCAACATCCCTTCACTCAGAGAACCTCTGAAAACATTTTGTGTAGAGCTTTTCAGTTTTTCTTCCTTTAAAGCACATACGGCTCTCACACTACATTGTAGTTTCATGTCTATATTCAGCTTTATTCATACAGCAACATAGCATGAGAACTTGCCCCTGTGTTTATATATATCACAAGAGCTAGTTTTGCATGGAATTTAACTAAGAATTCTCCTCTTACTGGATTATGAAGCTATTTTATAGTTTCAACAACTTTCAATAATATGAAATTAATCATGGTTCATAAATCATCCTGTGCATACTCAATTATACACTTAGGTTGTGTCTTGAGATATTAAATTAATGAATCAAAGTGCGTGAACATTTTAAAGAATTTTTATATATATTAACATGTTGTCTTACATGTGCACACACCTACACATAATAGCATACAATTTCATCAAGAAATTGGTCATTTCATCAACCTCTACTGAACACCAAAAATGACCTCTACTGTATATTAAAAGTGAAAGGGCACAGTCAATTTAGAAATTAGGCCTAATGAGCCCATTAACCAAATGGGCATTAATTTAGTTCTAAACTTGCTAGCAAGCAACAAATGGCACAGGGCAACCTTATGACTGTATAATTTGTGATGCCAGAGACAGAAATTCAATAGGAATTCTTAGAAGGCAATCTTTCTAAAGAAGCTAAAAATGATTATACATATTTATTATTGATACAAGCAGTTTTTATTAGGTGGTTTCTTTTTAAAATTATGAATATGGAGTGCTGGAAACAAGTTAAAATGTAATTCCATAAAATTAATTTTCCAGAAGGTCTATGTAGTTTTCTCAAATTGCCCATATTGCTTTTGGTCTCCAAAGACAGATATGTAGAAAAGTAAATTTTAGTATAGAGTTCCAGTGCAGACGGGTTGAGCTTTCTTTCAAAACCCTGTCTTCAAAAAGCATGTCTCAAATGAGCTTCTCTTCAATAATGGGTGATGGTGAGTCAGAGATTATACACTGTATTTTCAGTGGAACCACAGAGTAAATTTATGCATAGGGCTTTTCTTTTTTTTAAACATAAAAGAAAGGAGTGATTAAAAAAAAAAAAAAAAGCATTTTACAACTCAAGAAGACATGAATTTCATCATCTTTTTTCCCAGAAAGAAAATGCATATACACAAGACAAAGACTAAAACATGATCCTTTTTTTTTTTTTAAAACACAGCTGCAGATTCCAATATAGAGCTTGTGAATTAGATAGCTTGAGTGGACACAGCTTTTTGCCAAAATAGAGGTGTCCTGGGAGTATAGCAACCAGAGAACTAGGTGGTCATTTGTTTTTCCTCATGCTCTACTGACCTCAATCTTTCTCTTACAATGCTCATGTTTAAAGTATTGTAGAATAGGAAAAGAGCTCAAGAACGAAACAGCAGGTGTATACAATTCTCTGACTCACTCATCCTGGGCTTTCTCTATCATTTACATATACACTTTGCAAACAGTTCTAACTTTTAACATCGTAGCCGGCCTTCATTCAAAAGATTATTAGGTAATTTAGAAACAAATTAAAGTGAGAAGGGGATGATACCAGAGTACCAGCAATATTTTATTGGAGCAGAAGGGTTTAATTGACTTGTCTATAGATTATTCCCATAGTATCGATTTCATATGTATAGAAATGTTATTAGGATGGTTCTCTATGGAATCATAGGTCAATAAAAAACCAGTAATGTTATAGATCCTTTAATGTTATTCCTTATAAATAGAATGTTCTAAAGTAGAACAATGTGTCTGAAGCTATTCATTCCTTATGTGTCACAGATGATGTGACAATCATCATGCATATCTATTATTTTAAAACAAGGCAGCATCAATTTATTTCTTTTCTTGTCATCATGGGGGAGAAGAAAAGGTAAGATTCTCTTAATTAGAGAAGAGAAATTGTCATCTATATATCTTCTAACATTATATACACAAATTTATAAATTTGAATATTACTCATCATGATTAATTGGGGAAAATGCCCTTAAAGATTAAAGATTCAAAGATAAGCATTTTATGATTATTACATGCTGAAAAAGAATAGTCTTATATATGTAATGCTTCATTTTTAAAACTCTATTAAATTATTTCTTTCAGTGTGCTTTCATTATTTGAAATTCTATTTCATCCAGCAGAATCAACAGCTCTTTTTTCTGTCGTGTCTGTTCTGAGATTCTCTCACAAGCAGCTGCTAATTAGGAGAGCCTGTGGTCTCAAGCCTCTGTACAAAATCTCATTTGTCAGCACTGGGTGAAACAGTGCAATCCTAAGAAAACAAAGGTGTATAAAA